GAAACCACCCCAAACAGGTCCTAACCCAAAATGACAACAGAAGCAAAATCTCAGTCGCAGAGCAAAACGCCTTCGAGGAAAAATACTATAAAATTTTCGAACCAGACAAATAATTTAGGTCAACCCCTCCAAAATATAAAAACCAAACCAGTTGTTTCTGACACAAACTACTAGTTTTATCCTAAAACAACCACAAGATTCCAAAACTCAGCACTTTGTCTGACAATAAGACGAAAACCCATCAATCCCCATTAAAAATCTTGAGCAAATTCAAGTGAAAACATGAACAAATTCAGATCTTTTGCCTTGTCTGCTCTTCAGCTTTTGATATTTTATCCAAAGTTTGAAACTTTGAAAGAACGTTTTTTTGTTTTTTTTTTATTTTTTCATCTGAGCTTTGGAAAGCTGAATGTGGGTTAACTTGTGGCAGCTCTGAAACAGATAAAAAAATGTCACTATTTAATTGCATGTGGGTCCTTTTGCTTCAAACATACTCAATTACTCATTGCATAGAGATTCCTAAATTCTTAAAAGCTTAAACCATTTATAAAGTTTTGTCTACTAAAAATATTTATTTCTCTTTTGATCTTTAATTTAATTTCCTAACCTAGCAAGTATACTATAATAACATTGAGGATTTTTTTCCTTATATTATAGAAGTTTTTCTTTTGTTGTAATTTCTTGAGAGTAACAGTTATCTGTACATTCCAGCTGGACCATGTGGGATACATTATACACCATGAATTTGCTTCATTCAACTAATTATATCTTAGTCATTATTAAAGAATTTGTAACATGGGATGAGAGTTTACTTGACAAATTATTGTGAGGCGAAAACCGATATTCCGGTCAATTCATCTTATTTTTTGATAAAATTCATATTCATTATATAAAATGTCATGATTTTATTTATATTGATATAGAATATTTAATTTTGATTTAAAAGTATACATATTTATTAAATATTATGTTACATTTAGACCGGTATAATAGCCGTCTTATTGAGGTTAATATAGTGTGGACCTTCTCATACTAGTCATTATTAGTGTTGAGAAAATTGAGAGAATATTTTGCATATCTTATATATGGACATGTAGCTCACTTATAGTGTTAATTAACTCTGTTAGAAAATACAATAAAAAGGAGCTATGTAATTTTGTGCAATAATGCAGCCTTTTGACCTTTTTCAAGCTATAAGAATTAAATAAACAAATTATGATGAAGAAAAGGAGAATAAGAAGAAGTTTTGTTGAAGTCATAAATAATGTAGTCCAAAATAGTGAAATACTAGTCTACNTATCGGAATGTGTTCATTATATATCAAATTAGTCATATTTTTAACGATTTGACATCCATATTATATATATAAATAAAAATATATATATATATATAGTTATAACTATATTTATAAGTAATATGAATAATGGTTGAAAAAATAATAAATCATTATAAAAATTATATTTTTTGATCTATCAATATGTGATATGATATGAGGACAAAGATTTTTGGCATAGCTAAGCCAATATTGAACAAATATGATTTAAATACATTGATAATATTTCATATTGTATATATATGATACATATCATTATATTTATTGATATTACTGGTCGGTAACCGTATACCGATCGCTAGTTCGTAGCTAGATCGGAATGACTATCAGTACGGTATTTAAAACATTATATAAGTTATATCACAAATAACACATACATAATAAAACGAATCTATACTTATATAATAAGAATTAACATTTATCAAAATTAGTAACTTAATTAATGGTCAAAGTCAGTTTTACATTAATTACTTTCCAAAATCAGTAACTTTTATGTCCTTTCCATACTTCTCATTAGTGATGTCCTTTTCACATTTCTAATTAATCATGTCCTTTTCACACTTCTCATTAATTATGTCTTTTTCACACATCTAATTAATTCATTAATTACGACATAATTATCATAAATTATTCCATCTGAACTTTTATCGTTAAAATGTATAGCGATCTATTATGACCTTATGCCATTGATATTTCCATGAAGCGTCCTTATCGCGTTCTATTTTTTGGTAACCACTCTATATCAATACCAGATATTTGGTTAATGATAGCACACGTCTTTATTTCAAGAAGCGGATATTCTTTGACTTTTAATTTATCTGAACTGATTGCCTTGACTTTTCAATTTTTAAAAACTCTTTTTTTAAAATATTTCGGCTTAAGATTCGGATATTATACAAGTTATCGGATTGTTTGAATGAAAATGAATGAAAAGAACACAAAAAATAGGTAACCTTATTCATATAACCAACCCTAAAATATTAGTTTGTTCACCAAAAAGGAACAAATCCTAGAAATCCTAAAATATTAGTTTGTTCACCAATCCTAAAATATTAGTTTGTTCACAATAAAATATTAGTTTGATTTTTAGGATTTGTCTATTTTGAAAATATTAGTTTGTGATAATGAGGAGTTACCAAATAATCAAACTCATAATGTTGTGTACAATGAGATTTTTAATAATATATGATTGTTACCGAACTTTTTATGATTTAACAATGTTCCTATGTATTTTAATGATTTCAATTTCGATCCTAATGCACGTGAGATTATATTATTCTTTCAAATTTTACATCTCGTGCATCGCACGGGTTACGTAATAGTTGAAATAAAACAAAAATAAATTAAAATATAAATTACTATAAATATAAGTTATACTATATTGGGACAAATTTTAAATTAAATAGCTTTCAATTATTGCACAATTTATAAGCATGATATGGAGCGTGCCCAGTAGATAATATACTATTTAATATGGGCCGCTTTCAAATTACAACTAAAAACCTCGAAAATTGGGGCGCCATTGATGGGAAGCCCGTCACGAGCGGCGACCGGCCGGCACACGCAATCATGGGCTTTGACTCGCTTTGCAAGTCCAATATCCGACCCGGCCGGTTTGACTCAGCCCTCAACTCATTTTGGCCGCCCACTTTGCGGTTATTGCTGACGATTTTGAAGTTGCAACAAGTGGAGTCGAACAATGACCCGATCAAGTTGAATCCGATTTTTTTTGGTATTGCTCGAGCTGACTTTTTAATGCTCGGCTCAACAAATAAAATTTATATAAGGTCATTTTTTGTAAACGTAGTTGATTATAAGTTAGGTGAGAGCTTATAAGTTTGTTGATAGTTTCTAAGTGAAATTCGAGTTTATGGCTGAAAAATTAGTTGATATGATAAAAATGTTTAGTAAAATTAATTGATAAGTTGACTCAAATAAAAAATTCAACAGACTTATGTCCAATTAACATTTCATATAAGGTCGAGCTTTTTAAAAAAAAAAATTTATATTACCAAATCAAACTTATTCGAATACAAAAAAATTATAAACTAACCATATTAGCTATAAACTAGTTTATGGTAATCACCAAACACACGGTAAATATTGTTCAAGATCGGCCCGAGATCGACTCGAGTTTTATTACGTCAATCGAATTTTGCTGGGCGATGCTATACGGTGCTGAATGTTAGCCTACAAAAAGGCAACATGTCGAACAACTAAGTGTAGCAGAGATACGTATGTTGCGTTGGTTTTGCGGGCACACAAGAAGGAATAGAATCAGGAATG